TATCGAAACCGGTAAATTCAACACTGTAATTTTAATGCTTTTGCTCATAATAAATTCTCGAATGCTGGTAACGTATGCCGTTAAGTTCACTCAAATTAACTTAAAGTAATATGTAAGTGAACGAAAGTATTAAAATCGCAGTGTTGAATTTGCTAGTTCATAAGTTTACGGTTTACGGTCTGTGTAAACCAGCCTTTAAATAAATCATTCTTAATTATCTCTTATTGATGTCCTTGTTGATTAACTAATGAAATATTATTGTATTGTATTTTACAGAAAGTTTTTTGAAGAGAAAAAAGAGTTTAAATACTGTTCGTGTACAAAATACGAAAACGAGAAAAGTAGAGGAAAATACTATTGAAACTTCTGTTTACAATGAAAATACTATAAAGATTGAAAGAATAAAACAAATTATGGGACAAGAGAAGGAAGTTGCAGAAATACAAAAGCTCATGAGGAAAAAATGACTGCAATGAAAGAAGATTTTCATAAAGAAATACATGCTCTAGAAATTAGAGCAGCTACTGCAAAGGCTGAACTAGCTGAGTTACAGTTGAAAAAAGAAAAAGAGAAATATGTTCTTTAAGAATATAAACCAATGTTCCTTAAAATTGAACAAGTACAAAGTATTTTAAGCAAATAGATGTTTCTGTGATTTGTGTTACTTTTTAAAAGATATCAAAGTAATCATATTTACAATTACAAAAGTTTATTTTAAAAAAATTACATTCTCGTATTATTAAAGTGTATGGAAGAAAAAATAAAAATTGTTTTGCTTAATTACTATTCATTACATTATATTCATTACATTATCCATAATCAATATTATCTAAATAGTCTTTCAATCAGTTCTGCTCGCATCACAAAACCTTCTCCTGGTTCCCAATGTGGTGCATCAACTGGTACTTCTTCCATTTCATTAACTTCTTCAAATATTTCTTCTTCTGGTAATACATCATTAAAAATTAATGAAAGATTATGTAGCACAGCACAAGCAACTACAATTGTAGTTGAACATATTAATTTGTTGCTCAATACTCTAGACAAACACGGAAATCTACGCTTCCATATTCCAAATGTCCTTTCAACAATTATTCGTGTTCTTCTGTGAAGTATATTATAACTGTAATAAAAAATATATTTTTAATTTAATTATTAGGTTTTTATAGACAATAAATGGATAACAAAATTAAAGATATAATACTAACGTGATTTCTTCATCTGTTTGTGGATTCTGAATAGGAGTTAAAAGGAATGGTAAACAGGGATATCCCGCATCTCCTACTAAAATGCCTGATAATTGACGTTCAACGTATTTCATATATATTCTAGAATTTTGGAAAATTCTACTATCATGCTGGCTTCCTGGCCATTCTGAGACAATATCTAAAAATTCTGTTCTGGGTCCAATAACAGCCTACGTATAATATATGTACATATATTAAAACCAATAATTTTTAATATTCTACTGCGTATAATAATTAACAATTTTTCTTTAAAATTATGCTATGCAATTAAAATTAAAACTTTGCTATTATATTAAAATTGCTTTATATTTACATATATGTAATACATACTTGTACATTCAATGAAAAGTATCCCTTTCGATTTCTATATATTTCGTCAATGTTTTGAAACCTATAGTATGAACTAAACGCACATGTGTGCAATCAATCGCTCCTTCAATACCAGGTAACCCAATGCCTCCATCACCACGTCCTATATCTTTAAAAAGCCTTTGATTTTCTCTTGTCGCATCTGGTGTAAGAGGCATCTTTATAAATTGCTTCAAAAGCCTTGCTAGAAGTATAGACACTCGAAATACTATTCTTGATACAGTTGGCTGTGAAACGATTATTGTGTCTCCAAGTACTTGCTGTAAGAATATTGTAAATATAATAAACAATTATCTGTCAGTTTAGGGATTTCAACACCTTGTATATGTATATTGTATATG